CGTCAGCTATATAGTACCAGCCATAGGTTAGGATAATCAGTTTAACTGATACTGAAGACCACAGAAATGTTATTAGTTATTTTATAAAAGAATGAATAAGGATTTGAAAGGATACTTTTTTAAAGCCTTTAACAAGTGAAAACAATAGGAAGGAACAAAAATTAAGACAACTTTTAAAACTGAGTAATAGAATATCATTGCAGAAGTATCTGTAAATGTCAGAATAATTAATGACTTGATGAAATATATAAACTAAAAACTCACACTCAACATTTTACAAAACCCGGAAAGATTAATTAATATGTTTTACCAGAGAGAAAGATTCTTTACAAATTTTTATTTGACTATGAAGTACATGTAAATGTGTACAAATATGTATTTTTATATCAAGGCAAAAGAATTTGAGGTTCTTTTCTTTTCATACTGACCTAACCAATTAAGTAAAACCACAAATTTTCTCACTTTGTCCTATGCCACTGGTAATGCTGATTTAAGCTGCTCATCTATATGCTATCATCTATGGCTCTCTATTTGAACTATATTTTAGTTCCCTATAGATTTCAACTAATTGACCTTGAGGGAAAGCTGAGTCTCTGTGACAATATGGTCTTCAATCACCACTGCCAACATAAATAAATGGTTCCTCTCTGGATCTATCAAGAGTAATCTGAGTGGAATTTAAGTTTTTGATAGACTTTTAAAAAATGAACCCAAACATGAAATAATACCCTTCCAGCAAAAAAGCATAGGATTTAAGACAACTAAGATTCATGTAATAAAAAGTGTTTAGCCTTTTATATTGAAAAGTGGTCAGTTATCTTATTGAAATCTAGACAATTCTAAAATTGATTTCTATACTGATGAACTGAATATGATTTGGCAATAATCTTCACTATCATAAGTGAATAAAATAAGAATACCATACCAGTCTAAAGTGCTTTCCATTTAATAATTTTTAAAGATTTCTTTTAAATCTTAGTAAAAAAAATGTTTTCTATTTGAATTTCTTTAAGTGTCTTCACAGAGCACTTGATTTGAAAATAGCACTCCTTCTGAAATAATATTGTTGACTTTCATGCACAGTAATTTCTATAAATTTGTGTGTATCTAACCCAGTTTTTCTAATTACTTCATCAGTGATAAGTCAATTCATTTTTCTCATATTATGTCCCACCTTCTTTTCTAATTTCCTGCATTATTGTCAAAATTAATACTTTTCTTATTTAAAAATAAAAATTTAAAACCTCAAGGAAAAACAAAATTCAGAACATAGCCAATACTTAAGGAGAAAATGATATCCATGTGATATGAAGCTAAGAATCAAAGCAATCCAATGGAAAGAAATTATAGACAACAAGAAAAAAAAATCTAATTTTTATTTGAATTAGGTAATTTATGCCATTTTGGCATAAATTTAAGCTATCCATATAGGTATTTCAAGATTTTGGTTCACACATAACTGTGACATAAGCATAGACTGGACAGTTACATAAAAATTAGACTATTAGAAGCTTTGATTCTCACATTATGTAAATACAAGTATGAAGTACAGATTACATTAAGTGATTGAGTTTAGATAAAGAAAAAGATACAAAAGCAAATAAAGCCAAAACACACCCTACTTCTTTTTTTATTACTTAAGTAGAAAAGAGCGACTTTATTGTTCTGATATCTTATTTCCTAACAAAGTATCTAGCACCTGTTAAATTCTAATATTAGGTGATATGATATGGCTTTTGTTTAGACTCATACTGTTTTTTGATTATACTTATCTAAAGCTTTGAGGTAGGACCATATGAGAATTCTTAATTGTTTTATATTTAGTGCAAAATTGATTCAACTCAGTTATTCTCTCATTATCAGAGTACTTATATTTAGCTTACTGTGTATCTTAGTCTGAATTCATCCATAATTGTATACTTAACAATGATTTATTCATTGTCCACTATGAATAAGGTTCTGAGGGACTTGTAGTAAGTTAGGTGTTAATCCTGCCCCTGCCTTCAAGTATTTATGAACCTTAGTGCATGTATCCTTAATGCATGTACTTAAATAGCCATAATACAGGGTGGAAGGTGATGGTTTCACAGAAGGAAAAATTATTTTCTCAGTAATAGAACAAGGAAAGGTCCATGAAGGAGTTAACATTTGAATCAGCCATTAAGGAATTAGTAGAATCTGCTTGTGAGAAAACACCTGGAATGGTACATACTGAGAGGGAGGGATACCAAGAGAATACTTGGAGTGCGAACAGAGTGTATGAAGGGGAGCTATAAGGAATAATGTAGAAATATGGGCATGATTAGAAATGTTTTTACGTGATTATTTGAAAACTTAGTATTTATAGTCATTATATTAGAGATTTATTTAGCACTTTGAAGTGAAAACCAGAAAATAAGACTAGGATTTGATGTCTAGATATTTGTGACCACTCTTTATTCAGGAACCATGATTAGGAAGAATAAAATAGGAAATCTTGCTGCTTAATTTAGCACAATCTAGCCTACCCATTTTTGAGTAAATTTAAGACCGAATATTCTTTTAAAAACAACAAAAAAATCTTTCTTTATATTATTAATTATAGAACAGATGAGTAGGAGGAGCTTGAGTTATGCAGAATAAACTAGAAAAAGTAATTCTAGTACTAATGATAGTAACTAACATTTATGTGTTGTTTACAGCCTGGGAATTTTCTAAGCATTTTACATATATGGCTTTGATTGACATATTTTACCCCATTTTCCAAATTAGGAAACTGAGGCACAGAAAGATCAAGTAATTTGTTCAAGATAATATAGCTGGTATTTGTTGGTGCAGATATTTGAAGCCATTAGGGACATCATATTTTATAAGTAGGAAATAATTTACAAATATCCACCTAAGTCCCATAGCTAGCCGGTTATGGTTTAAAATTAGTGTCTTTAGAGAGATCTTTCAAATGCAAAATAAAATAATAAAAGCAGTAAAATAAAAGTAATTTCCTGTAGCATTTTTCACTGAAAAAAAAAATCACCTGACTTTAAAGGAAAAAAATTATTCAATTAGTTATGATTTCTAAATGAGAATAGAGATCAATAAAAAAGCAAGAATATGAATAATAATATGATGCTTTAGCTATTTCTTGCTCATTTATATTTTAATATGATTATTTGTGTTTAACATCTTTTGGGAATTAACATCTCTTGGGGATTTCATTAACGTGTACCAATTCTTTAAATGACTTACTGATGGCTGCCTGGAAACGAGCTCTATTTTAGATTCTAGATATTCTAGTAAAAATATTTGCCAGTATGGCCTCAAGTAATCCTGGATCCTTTTTACCAGAGAGAATCTTTTAAGTCTAACTATCCTTATATAGGTGGACAATAAGGCTGTTATTAAATCACAGCCTGTTAGTGTGTTTGAATTTCACCAATCACAAACTGAAAAATGTTCCTTGTTACTGTAAAAATGGTCTCCACGCAACTCAAGACTCTCCATTTCCACTTGGTAGGGAAATTGATTTGTTAATTTGAGTATCACATTTATTTCTATCTTAAGCTCAGTTAATTAGGATTTGCCCAACCAAACCCCGTTGCCACAGCAATTTCTGAAGAACAGCACTGGGTCATCAGGCATCTAAGGGGGCTGGGGTAGTGTGGGTCTAGTCCATAATGTCTTTTTTTCTTGCTGGTCTTTGCTAAGGTGTAATTATTTCCAACAGGGAATTTTTCCTAGTCCCCACTGTTGCAATGTCAGAAATGTGTCCAGACTGTCTAATTCAGACACTGTGTCTTCCTGTCCCCAAACCAGGGCTTCTTCTGATTCAATAGCCCATTTAGCCATCTCTGTATCCATCTAGAGTTGGGATTTCTCTGTTGCCTTCTTAGAATCACCAGAAGGTATAGCAGGAAGCCTTCAAGCTCATGCACCAAGACTTTGCTCAAGCACTGCAGTTTTATCACTGTGATGCCATGTTTGGTAACATGATGTTCTACCAAGGTATACCCTGAGAGGCTGGCTGGGAGATACCTCCTTTGGTTTGGGGACACCTACATCATTAACCAAGAATTCTATCATTCTTGAAAATACTTGCTCCAGCATTCCCATATATTTTACCAGTCCCGGTATTTTAATGAAATATACTTCTTTTTGATGCATGTTTTCTTCATTTGAACATTTGTGAACATTTTCATAATATTCATTATACCACATTTTTCAATCTAATTATTTCCTTTCATTCATCCTTTACTTCAAAAATCACATCTTCTTATAAGTAGTCTTCACTAAGGAATGCATAAAATCATCCCCAATAATATTTAAAAATTAAAACTTTTTATGTTATAGGTTTTATTGATTTAATTAAACTTCGTGACTTTTGTGTTTTTTGCAGTGCTAAGTTATTGTGCATGACAAATGTGTTACTAAAGATGTGCTCGTCTCTGAATTCGTGTGTTGCATAGTCTATTTAGATGTTAAAAATTATTTTAATATTTTTCGGAGAATAAATAACTTGACCAATGAACTGTCACAAAAAAAATATGTCTTAAGTAATTCAAATGATATGATTTTGTTATGGTTACATATTCATCAAAACTCACTTATGAAACAAGACAGGCAATATAATGTCATTTTTCAAAGTTCCATTCTTCTTGGTTCAGCACTCTCTATTGGACAAAGAAAATTTTTTTTTAAATCTCCATTAACTTTCTTAGATCATTGAATGCTATGCAATATATTAAAAAATAACCCATTTTTAATGTAGTGCTCCAAATACCTAACAATATAAAAAAGTTCCTTCTTAACCTGAGAGAGAGGCTAAATTATTATTTGGCCATATTGGGGTTCAAATAATATATAATTTTTAAAAATGAAATAGATTCTAAAATAATGATCATGTGTCAGATAAAGGCATAGCACATTACACATTACTGATTTATATTTTTCTGATTTTAATCTAGAACTCTTTCAGAAAGAGCTGTACCTTCAACTCAATGCATTTAACACAATCTCTGTTGCAGGTTACTTAGTTATAGAAAATCCATCAAGTAAGTTTGTGAAATATCTTTTTTTTGAATATCAACTTTAGACTCACTGATTTGATGAATTTTAATGTGTGGTTCCTTTTTTGTATGTTTGTTAGAAAAACCTCTAAGCTAGATATAAATCATAAAAGCATGACTAATTGCATGGTAACTGGAGAAATGCTTTCTCTCTCTCTGGGGCAAAGCCTGCATGTCTGTATTTTAGCTTGGGAAGTAATACGGGGATATTTAAACTCCTTGGGGTTTAAAAACCATGTCATTATGAGAATGAGGTCACTGCAATATTTTATATCTTCTAAAACCTTGTAATGTATAAAATGCTTTCTGTATGACAAAGAGGTATTATGCGCTTTAGGATTCAATGATAACTTTACATTTACTTGAAAAACTTTCCTCATTAAAATGTTAATCATTCATTTAAAGTCACTTAAAAATTGAAGGAATTTTGTACCATGAATACAAAGGAAGAAAACTTTACAAAGGGGAAAAATTAATTTTGTAAGTGTGACAGAGTCACTTTAAAAGGCTGGGTGGTTTATGGGGTTTGAAATGTCCGTTGTTCTGTAACTTGTTCACCAGTGCCAATGCGAAAGTGAAAGAACTCAATCTAACGTGACTCCGTTTTGTACCTTTCTTTGCTTGGAGGCCGATAAGCAAGAAATCTTTCCTGCAACATGTTGAAGAGCTTTGCACAAACAACAACCTAAAGTTTCAAGAAGAATTTTCGGTATGTTACTAGCAGTTGTCACAACACTGCCAGACCTCCAGTCGTTTCATGTGTCACATTTCATGTCCATTTTAAGCATGCAAGGCCATGAAGGACACTGGCCTTGATAATCAATACCCAATTACCAGGTTGATTGTTTGGATAGTAATGTGAGACTGGGCGGCCTCTGGTGCAACCTGAACAAAATTACTCACCTGCTGTGTCAGGAAAAGGTGCACTTCTTCAGACCTCCCTGGGAATAGCATCCTGGCCTGGTTTCATACTGCTCTCTCATCCAGATGTAGATGCAGATCTATAATGCTGTATTCTTGAGTTTTGTTTGGGTACAAGGCTTGAGTTATACTATCTATGTAGTTTTATAGTTGAATAATTATTTTAGACATAACACTAAATAATTCCAATTTAGATTTGCCTGTTTAGTTTGTTAGTGATACAAATGAACCTGACAGCAGAACTTAATGTTTTGAGAAACTATAAAAATAACTTTATTTTTATAACTGTCCAAAAATTAAAAAAATGATAAGTAATCTCCATGTTTTACAAGGCCTGATTTTAAGTTGCTACATAATAAATGCTATTTTATGTTATGGAGAATATGTAAAATTAAGAACTTGTCACCCAAAAAACTACTTAAAAGTTAAGAATGATTTTGTTGCTTTTAACATTTCGCATATTTATAAATTGAAATTATTTTAAAACATAAGATAGATATCAGATCTTCAAATTATTTTGACTTGTAAGCATCTTTCTTAACTTAGATGATTATTTTGTATAATGAAAATAAAACAGATTTCTAAATGTCACCAAAACTTTATTTTTTCATGAAATTCTTAGTGTGTGAATTTATGAAACAAAGAATTGAACTATTGGCTTGAATAATTCAAGATTATAATATTTCAGTCTCTCAGGGAATAATAACAAAAATGTCAGAAGATTAATGGTATTTCCTACAGCTTTTTGGTTATGCTTCTTAAATAATATTGGTCTGGACTTAACAAAATCAGTGATACCATAAAACTCTTCTTAGTATTTACACAAAGAGAACTCTGAAGTTTTCAGAAGCAGAATTTCACTAGCGTAGGAGCAAATAAAATCACATTATGCATGACTGAGTAGATAAGTTTTATTAGCAGTAACATTTTCACAGATATTACATTGAGAAATTTTCTAGTTTAAATTTTTTGGAGATCACGATTTTAAGAACCTGAGTTTTTGTTATATAAGTATAGGTTTTGTATATATATTATATAAATGTATATAAATATGTAAGGGGCTTCTTTTACAAAAATGTTTTTATTCTAATGCTATAATAAGTTTTTTAAAGCAAAATTGTGATTTAATAAACAAATGCATATTTGATGCATATATTTGATAAACCTTATAACTCAGGTTATATTCACTTATTATATTTTAAATATTTATAAGCTCCTATTATGTGATAGGCATTGTATCTGATACACTGATGTATATCAACTCAACACTTAATAGCTAAGTGACCTTTGGCAAATCACTTAAACTCTCTGTGCCTCAATGTCCTCATTTCTAAAATAATAGAAATTGTTATTATAATTGCTACCTCACTGAATTGTGAATACTAAAATGATTGAATGTGTATAATACTAAGAATAGTGGCTGATACAATTGTTAGCTATTATAATGATAATTCTTACCAGAAAGATGCTCATATTATAAGAACTGTATAAAAAAATTACGAATGCTCTATATTACGATAAAAAATGTGTTCATAAAAAAGTGATGATCAACTCTGTTTGGATAGCAGTCAGAAAAGACTTTACAAAAAGATAACCTTTAGGAAGAGCGATTAACTTTAGGAAGAGCTGAAGTCCAATAAGTAGAAAAAGGGGCAAAGAAAGGTATTCCAGAGAAAGGGAATGAATGCGAAAGCATGAGGATGCAAAATAGTCCAACTCATCTGTGATCCACTAAAAAGAAGGAACAGTAGAAGAAAGAGCTAACAGTAAGGAGGGTGGTTGAGGCCCTGTGTGCCCTGATAAGAATAACCAAATGTACCATTACTCTTCAAACAATCAACCTGGTAATTGGGTGTTAATTATCAAGGCCAGAGCCATTTAAATCTATAAATAGAAACATCTATGTAAAATAATCATAGAATAGAAATACCACTTTTCAGGGGATTTCCAATTCATCTTTCTTCTCCCCTCCCCTGCATAGTTCTTTGTCTCTTACAAACATGCTGACCTATACTCCCAAAACCTTGACACAAGGAAGCTTTTCTAGGATTCCTCACTTGGTTAATTTTTTTCTAAGCCTTAGTGCTAACACACCAAATTCATACATATCCACTTGAAAAAAAGACTGTCTAGATTTTCTTTTTGAGGAACAATAAGAGGGAAGGGAGAATTAGTCAATTAAAAGAAATAATTTATAATGATGTTGAATAAATTGTAAAAACACGTTTTTAACACTTGTCAAGAAATTTGGCAAGTTGAGACTTATTTCTAAAATTTTATAAATGTAAATCTCAGCTCAAAAAAATAATGAACACATTTTCTTGCACCAACTTTCTTAATGATGAATGGATAATATCATGATTTTTCACCAGAATGTTAATAATAGATCTTCTTGACCCTTCGTCTGTGTCTGATAATTCTTAATCTCACTTTCGCATTCCACTATCGATTTAACAATGCCTACTGAGAACAGGAACTGACCTTTGGCATCTTCTCAAGCTGACCAGTGTTGTACCAATTAATAGGCGTGAAATCACACTGCCTGACGAGAAAAAACAAAAAATAAATCACTAAACTCTCTTTCTCTACTAAGTAGACATTAAAATATTAAATTATATTAAGTATGTACCTGACAAAACCATTAGTAGAATATGGAAAAGTGTTACTAACATGGTTGCTACATCTTAGAGCTTCCCAAAATACAAAGAAATTATACCAGAGAGCAGTAGCCCAACTGACCATTCCATTCAGTATATTTTTGGTGAAAGTTTATGTAAGTTCATTAATATTAATTTAACCTTGTTTCGGTAATTACAAGAGGTGTTTTCAATTTAAAAATAAAAGGGTTTACAGAAAAGAATTGTCTTTTACTACTAAGTGGAATTTCTTATTTACCTCTGAAATAAATGTAAATTTTGCAATGACTTTATTCCACAGGAATTACCAAAATTTCTTCAGGATCTTTCTTCAACTGATGCCGACCTGCCTTGGAACAGAGCAAAAAACCGTTTTCCAAACATAAAACCATGTATGTGCGCTTATTATCTCTGGTTTTAGCTGTGGAATATTTTAACGTGACCACAAAATGCATCTTAGCATTTTATATTTCTTAAGTATATTTTACTGCATATTAATTGAATTATAATAATGTGCTTTGTTAGCAGCAACTTTCAAATTGTGTTTCCTTTGCTTTGTTAATATTTATTAAAGTTAATGTACATGGTTTCAGCCTGTTCACACAAGGTTCACTTATGCAGGTGCAAGAAACTATAGACCTAATAGTTTTCTTAGCTTTGTAATTTAACCCAAGTAACAAAACTCTCTAACATCTTTCTACAGACCTAGTTTTCAAACAAAAAGAGAAAGTTCATATGTAACTTTGTGCATTAGTTTCTCTTAAGAGCATGGCCTTGTTTTCTTATGGAATATAAAAAATGCATTGTAAAATATTCATTAAGATCAGAGTTCTTACCAGAATTGGTTTTACAAAAGGAGGCAGGTTTGTGCCTTACCATAATAAACATGGCTTCGTTTTTCGATTAATTAGAAAAGAAACCATATTATTGCTCTAAGAATTTGCAGTTATGTGAAAGAAAAAACATAGCATTCCTCAGTTAATAATAATAAGTGTTTGATGTATTTTTTAAGCAGATGTTTCTTTCTATATTCTGACTTAATACACTTTACATTATGAAATAAAAAGTGATATTTTTGATGTTTTGAAATATTGTCAATATTATTTCAAAATCTAAAGTTTAAAATATTCCTAATTTTAGAGTTGACATGTATTTTTTTCTATGTGTTGTGCATTTTCAAAACTATATTGGGGAAAATTCCATACTTACAAATTAAACTCTCCCTTCTAGAAAAACATGGACTTAGAGAAGAATACAATCATAGAATGTAAAATCATAATATATATGTATAGAAATAAATGGACCAAATTCTGATATCCTCTAGAACAAGAGGATAACTGAGTCATGAAATAAATTTAAGGAAACATGATATAAGAGATAGTAATCTAATGGAATTTGCTAATTCCCAGTATTAGAATAGGATGAAAATACAAATAGCTTTAATCCTAAACTCCTTTCTAGAACAAAACAAACCATTAGTAAATGACTTTAAGAACAGTTGACAAATAAGACATTATAAGAAATGAGAAATGTTAGTATTACATCTCTAAATTTCTACGGCATAAGCTTTCTCAACAAGTCCTTTTGTTTTTAATTTCAGAGAGTTAACCTGGATGAGATGCATCATAAGTTTAAGAGATATGGAAATTCTCATGTTTTTATATTCATCTGTACCTAAATTTCTATATTATATCTATATTCAGTATTTTTCAATGGATTTTTAGAGGAAAGATTTTTAACTGTCCTCTTAAAGAGTTGGAGGTCCTATAAGAAATAATTTTGTTAGGTAAAATTTTATATTTTTCAAGAATGTTATTACAATAATTTATTAATTTAATAATACATACTGCCTTCTGTATAGTAAAAAAGCTAAGAACACATGGGTTCTAATTGAACCCCCTGGGTTGCAATCCTATTTACCCACTATCTTAGTGACTAGACATAATAATTCAATAGTCTCTATCTTTTAAGGTTATTGTGAAGATAGATGAAATAATCATGTAAATTACTTTTCCCAGTATTGGAATAGGGGAAGCACTCAATAAATGTTAGTTATTAGGATTGTTAGTAATCGATAGATTGTTTATTTTTAAAAACTGCTAACTTTCTGAGTGAATAAGATTTAGTGACATGCTAAATGTCATTTAGGGTCTCTAGTCTGGAGATAACAGCCCACTTCAATAGCCTGGGTTAAAAGGCAGGCTGTAAACTCACAGCCACCTCTGTGGGCCAGTATACCATCCTCTCCACCCCTCTGACCCCCTCCCACACACACACACCAAACAAATGAGATCTTTAGACAAAATATATTCTCCCATTGTGCTTGTGGAGAAGCCATAAAGCTGAAAACAAAATTTTTTTTCTCTTTTAGAGAATGAATTCATTTTAATAGAGTCTGAATTTTGGCTTGAGCCAGCTAAGTGAAGTGCATTGTTTCCCCTGAGTAATGTAGGAAGTAGGATTTCAAATATCACAGTGCATTTTAGAAGATATTAGCTTACAGGGCTTTAAGATACTAGAATTAGCAGCAAATGCTTGCAGAAGAGATTTGCAAATCTCTGTTTGACAGGACACTATGACCTTCAGAAGTGTTCCAACACCATGAAGAAAAATTTAACTTGTTGTTGACTCGAATAGTTATGAGCAGGCATATCAAATGAATAGAAACCTGATGGCTTCCCTTCTAAGTTATAGGACTAGCCACACTGTCATTAAAATAGTTAGGTCATACCAAATTCAAAATCTTTGGGATATAATCATTTGTATAAATTTGCCTAAATATTTTCTATTTCTAATTTAAGCCCATTGGGCAGGTCTTTATAATTACTAACAATACAGTTAAGTCATTTTAACATATAACATGTGCTTAAGTTTTAACAATATAAGAACATGTATTGAGTGCTTACTATAAACTTTCATTTAAGTCTTCCTTAAGAGAATTATACAAAATAAATGTATATCTACGTATTATAGCTGAAGTAACAAAGGAGTCTCTAAGCAATTCACCCAAGGCCATACATATGGTAGACAGATCATCTGGAATTCAAATCCAAGCCCATTTACCCATTTTTCTTCCACTATCGAGAGCCTTCCCATTGAGGTTTTAAAATTTAAAAAAAAAAAAAAAACCTTCAATATAACTATGTAGTTATAGATATTTAATTTTTATCATTTCCATGTCTAGTTAAAATTAACACTGGACATTGCTATTATAATACCAACTTGCTAAAAATCCTCAGGAAAATATTTTTTTAAAACTTTAAAAAAAAATTAATGAATAGAGGACATCTAATTCTATCAGATCTTAAAATAGTCTAAAGAATAATAATTAAAAGTTTGGTATTAAAGAAAGAATGGTTAGATAAATTAATGAAAGAGAATAAATAGTCCAGAAATAAACCTAAATACATAGAAAAATCTAATGTATGATAAAAGCAGTGTTTTGAATAAGGAGAGAAAAGGTGGATGGAATGTTAAAAAATCAGGACTGTTTGTTGTTTTAAATGGCAACAAGCAAACAAACAATAAAAGATAGATTTTACTTCACTCCATAAGAAAAAAATAAATAAGTCCCAATGGATCAAAGATTGAAATACTTAAAACAAAAGCAGAAAATAAAACACATTAAAGTTCCAGAAGAAACCAGGAATGAATTTGTGAAAATAAGAAAATTGATGACAAACACCTTTGCATGAATGGTACAATGAAAATGAAACCATAATGAAAAATAATGAGAAATTCGATTATAAAAAATATAAATTTTATGTGTGATAAGATAGCTAGCTAGATTGACAGAGTCAAAGACAAACAACAAACTAAGAAAAAAATTTTAATACATATGACAAAAGGCTACATATAACCTTTGTATTTAATATAAAGTATTTTTTAAATAGAAAAATGATATAATAGGAAAAGATAGTTAATAGAAAACATATTTATAATGGCCAATAAACAAGCAAGAAATTCAATTTTACTTATATTTAAGGAAATCAAAATGAATACTGAGTTATCAATTTGTATCTATCAAGAGATTGTAACTTAAAATGTTTAATAGTATCTTGTGGTAGTGAAACAGAATTGTTCAAACATTTTTTATTCAGAATATGAATTGATCTAATCAGAGAACAATTTGAGAATATCTTTCAAAATTTGAAATGCACAATATGATTTGGGAATTTTATTGCTGGTGATGCATTCTACAAAGACACTCCTATATATATATACAAAAAGTTCAATTATGTTTACTCAGCATTTTATAATAACAAAATGAGATTAATTTAACTCTTTAAATATGACATATTCAAACAATAAACTACTACATGGCTTTTTAAAATAATGAGCTAGGTATCTTTGTTTATGCTGATATGGAAAGATATAATCAAATGTAAAAAGCAACTTACAGGAGAGACCATATATTATCCTATTTGTAGTTAATTTTCTATGAACATGTATAAAAAATTCTGGGAACATATGCAAGAACATATTAATAGTCATTATCTCTGGGTAGTGGAAATATGGGATAAGCAGGAACTTCTACTTTAGTTTTACACCCATCTGTAAAGTTGAATGTTATATCATGAACTTCTTTGTACTACTTTTATAAAAAAAAAAATAGTGGCAATTTAAAATTGAATTAGTACTGATTTCTTATATTTTCTTCTAGATAATAATAACAGAGTGAAGCTGATAGCTGATGCTAGTATTCCAGGATCAGATTATATTAATGCCAGCTATGTTTCTGTAAGTTGCTATTTTTATATAGTTTATATTTTTGTAAAACATAAATTCTGAAATTTATTACTCTTCCAACTATTCAAAATAACAAATTTATTACAACCTCTATGGATTTTAATGTGCCAGCTCTTTGCAACAATACTAGGTACCCCCCATTTTATAAATGGGGAGATGGAGGCTTTTAGTAGATATTTCAACCTACCAAGAATCAGTTTACTAATAAGTGGCAGATGTACAACTTCAAGTTACATATCCACTGGTCTTTCTACTATTTCCTATGTGTTTTCAATGTATTGTCTACATACAATGAGGTCTGCCAGCTACTCTTTCAAAAGAAAATTAAATTAGTCAAATAGACAGTCATGTTCATATAATATAAAAATCTACTATGTTCTTCCTTTCTAGATTTGCGGTCTTTCAGGAGCACTACTATGCCACATTCTCTTTTCTACTCTTAGTTACTTGTGGAATATGAACTCCATTGTAGCTACTCAATAAACATATCTTAAATGAACCAACATAGAGGAGAATTGTGACATGCCTAATATACCGTCTTGCACATCATAGATAATAAATTCTGAATTGGATTGAAAATTGAATGAAACCAAATTGTTTTAGGGATCTCTCTGTTTTCTTCTCCTTCTCCATGGCTCTTTTGTTCTGGCAATGCTCATCACTATCGTGGGTACATAGAAACGTTGTACGTACCCAAATCTTCACTAGAGTTGACACAATTGTGAAATCTCAGAGTAGGAATTGCCCTGTGTTAATTCAACCATTCACCTTCAAACTCTTTCTTAAAAATTTCTGATAATTAGATGTTAACCTCTCTTAGCATTGATTCATCCATTTCCTTCTAAGGCAGATGATTCTATTCCTGATCAACTCTAATACAGTTTTTTTCTAATGAGATATGTTCTCTTATATTTTCTCCCACTGGCTCCAATTCTAATACATAAAAAGGTTAATCATCTTTATCATGTGACCTTACAGGTACTTAAGGATTTCCTCTACTGCCCACACTCGATAAGTTTTTAATTTTTCTTCTTATTTGTATATCTTCTCACCCAGATCTGCCATTCCCTTTTGTCCCATTTGGGCCCTGCTTATGTGATGCTGCATCCTTTCCCTAACATTAAACCTGTGTGTCTTGTGTCCCATTACCGCCAAGACACTGTTGGGGAAAGAGATTCATTTTAATTCTATACTGGTTGACGATCACTCCAAAATTATAATCATATGCTGGATCTTATTATGAAATGAATAAATAATGTGACAATTTTAAATTTCTTAATAGGGGAAGTGATGAGGGGTCTGTGGTTGGAGAAGTTAAGGCAATCCTTAGAATTTCATCTGTTTATACTAGAACTTTAAATTGGTATTTAAAAAAACACAAATTTACTATTGTATTGACATACTCTATACATTTAACAAATGATTGATTTTTTTGAAAGTGTAATTCTTCTCTAAAGATTTTGGTGAAATCTTGTGCTTCCTAATTTTCATTATAGTCAAAACTCTAGTATGTTGAAGTTTTATCTTGATTTACATAATGATGTACATAAGCATTTAATACTTAAATTTAATTGATGCTCTAATGATCATATGTCTTGTGACACTGTAGAACAGGGCATAGAACAGAATCTTTGCTTGGCATGCCAGGACCAGATGGGACTAGACGAAACCTCAATACCATAGTGGCCTTCACTTCTCCATCTCCAAATGTAGGCAGTCTTCACCTCAGAAAGAATGTCTAACACCTCAATTTCCCCCATTCCCATTTTTGTTCCATGGTACTTCCATCTGAAAGTTCATGAACATTGTCCTAGGAACAAAAGATGGAGGCCATCTACAAATAGATTCTGGATTCCTATTTCTTTGGAAGCTAGAGGGAAAGGAAGGAAAACTATCAAGGGAGGTAGGGAAGAAAGCAAAACAACTAGTATTTAGATGGAGAAGGAAAAAACTGAAGTCTGGGAAATGGAAAGGAGAAGACCAGCAGGTGGTCTGAGGGATAGACTTTCAGGCTGGGAAATTCCAGACCAGGGTCTGTAACAAGATTAATGTACCATTGATACACCTATCCCTCTGTCCTTGGCTGTCCTTGGGAATTGTGCTCCTTAAGCGAGGACTCACTGAGCCTGGAAAATGTTGATGAAGAATGGACTGTAGGAGAAAGGTAGCAAAGAAAAGAGATACTGTATCCCTGTAAACGGCCACTAACTACACAAATGTTTTCAAGAGAACTAACAATAAGAACATTATGCAATAGGACAAGAGGAAGGCCCCAAATCCTCAAAATTATGTCTCCTGTCAACCAGATGCCTAAAATTACATTAACTGGGGGATAACTTTTTTCATAATTAGAGATGAAAGATGAAATGTTATCATGCAAAAGAGCTGTAATAACATCAGAAACATCAGATTTGTTCTCATTTTGATAGATTGTAGTACTTAAAGACATTGAGTTCCTGAACAAGTGAAATGCAAATGATCAAGAGAAACATTTTATAAATCAATCAATTGTAGTTAATTATCCTCATCCTTGAAACACTTTCTTCATTTGGCTTCCAGATACCATTCTCTCTATTTTCCATCTACATATAGCTTTTTGACTCTTTTATGTCAGTCTCATTGATTCTCTTTTCTCCTGGAGTACCAAACATTTAAATTATCTACAGCCCAATCCTTGAATTTACTTCTTTTTCCCAAACTCATGTCCTTGGTAATCGCATTCATTCTCATGATTTTAAGTAAGATCTATGTGCTGATTACTTTCAAATGTATGTTTCTAGCTTAGACTTCCTCCTGAATTCCAAACTCACATACCTAATTGCCTTCGTGATATTCCCAGTTGAATATCTAACAGGGAATTCCAGTTTAATATATCCATAATAAATTTCTAATTTTCCTGTCAAAGCTACTCATTCTGAAGTCTTCCCCGTCTTCCTTTGGAATCATTATCGATTATTCTATTTTTCTCATACCCAGTATCCAATCCGTCAGCAAATTCTGTTGGCTCTGTCTTCAGAATATATCCAGATCTTATCACTTCTCGACATCTTCATTGCTATCACCAAAATTGCCCCCTTGGTTCAATTATTGCAATAACCTTCTAATTACTCTTCCTCTTTTCACCTTTACATCCTGATAATCTGATCTTCTTACAGAAACCAGAGTGAAACCGTTAGACTATACAGTGTATATGTTCATAAGCTTTCAACAGCTTTCTGTATCATTCAGAGTAAAAACCAGTCTCATAATTACCTACTAGGACCTAAAGCACCATTATCCTCTCTCCTCTGTGCTTTCTGAGGTCACTTTTTATTGCTGCCACCCCTCCAAATGCCACTCCAGCCATTTGCTGTTCTTAGAACAATGCAGACACATCTCTCCTTTCATACTATTACACTTGACTTTCTACCTGGAACACTTTTCCCTAAAATCCTGCAAGGCTTACTCTCTTCCTTCTTCAAATCCTTCCTCAGATATCAACAATGAGTTTTTTCTGAACTCTATTTTCTGAAAGCCCTCTCTCAAAGCACATTATCACTTTTAAAAGTTCTATGTATTTTGCTTTTTTAAATAGACTTATGAATAGACTTAACTTCTATTTCCCCTAATTAGAATGTAAGACAAATGAAGGTAGGAATTTTAGTGTCTTTTTTTCAATGAGAAATCTCCAGCTCCTAAAATAGTGCCTGGAACATAGTAGGCACTCAAATATTATTTGAATGGAAGAATGTGCATATTTTAAAAGTCTGTGAAGAAATCGACCAAAGTTTTAATGGTTCTTTGTTCTGAAGAGTGAGATTACAGGTGAATTCCACATTCTATTACATATTTTTCTAAATTTTTCAAACATTATATACTGAATAGATATTACTCTTTTAAACCTAAAAAAATAAACTCTTACAATGTAAAATAATTACATAGCCAGATGTATTTCTACTGAGACTGGAAAAACAAAAATGCTTTAGCATATAATGTATTTAAGACTCAAGGTTTTTCCCAAAGACTGTCACTGGCTAGCATTGTGATTTGGGGAAAATTACCCAAGGTGCTCATTATTCTTTAAAGTAAAGTAAACTGATTGGATTAGATTTTAGGGTCTCTTGAAATTTAAAATGTGTATTATTCTTGTACAATACTATATTCTCTGACTACTGAGATAATTCCAATTTACAGATAAATTTTACCTTTTATTCCTATTCCTTCAAATATTTTGATGTTTGGAATAGGTATAATTCCATTACTACCTTTTTATCTGTACAGTACCTTCCTTTAAGAAAAATACACAGATACAGCTAAAGTTGCATGCTTACATTCCAGGTGAATGGACCAAGTTTTAGAACAATTTGATAAAATGTACAAGAGCTGTCAGGTCCTATATTAGTTAAATGAACCTTCATATTACCTCCACATTACTCTTAATTCAGAGTTCTGGAGAGTAAATACTGATGCCACAGTTTAAATAGATAAGTAATTTTTTGGAGAAAGAGTATGAAAATATCTGCAAAACCCATAAATATAAAACAAACACATACTGGAGTGGGTAAATTAACTGGCTTTGGACTCAGATTGTCTTACTTCTGTGAGACTTTGAGCCAATTACTTCACATTTCTAAGCTTAAGTATCTTCATCTACAAAATGAGGATAATAATAGTACTAATTCACAAGGTTTTTATAAGAAATAATTAATTGAAATATTAACTGTAAATTCCTTAGCAATTGTCTGGCGTAAAGTAAGCATTTGATTAAGGTCAATACTATTGTTTTTCTATGTTGCTGTTAATGTTTTTGTTTTATTTTTATTTTATTATTAGTTTCAAGTATACAGTATATTGGTTTGACATTTATAAAGTTTATGCAGCAATCCCCCTGATGGCTTTTTCTCTCCTCTGGCTCTACACCCAGCCATTACATTAATGCTAACTGCATTTCCTATGCTGTGCTCCCCATCCCCATGACCCTCTATCAACTATTAATTTGTACTTCTTTAACTCTTCACTTCTTTCTCCCAGCCTCCCATCCTCCCACCCCTTCTGGCCATCACTATCCTCTATATTTGTGAATCTGTTTTTTATTTATTAGCTTGTTCTTTTTGTTCTTAGATTCCACATATAAGTGAAATCATGTGGTATTTATCTTTCTCTGTCTGACTTATTTCACTCAGCATAATAACCTCTAGGCTCATCCATATCATTGAGAATGGTAGGATTTCATTTGTTTTTTAATGGCTGAGTAATATTCCATTTTATATATGAACTATAACTTCTTTACCAATCGTCTATTGATGGGCATTTAGGTTGCTTCCATATCCTGGCTATTGTAAATTGTGCTGCCATGAACATAGAGATACATAGATCTTTACAAATTATCATTTTGGTTTTCTTTGGATAAATACCCAGAAGTGCAATTGCATAGTTAATGTTTTATTGAAATATTGGAGATAAATTTTAAGAACTATTAGTTGTATAGTATATCACATTGTGAAGCTAAAATTATATGTTGGAAATTTCGAGTAATATTATTATGCATTCAAAATATACAATATTTAAACATATTAGATCATTTTACAGCTATTATATTTTTCATAAATTGTTCAAACCCTAAAAACTATTGATGCAGTGTTGTAATTATATCCTTTTAGGGCTACTTATGTCCAAATGAATTTATTGCTACTCAAGGTCCATTACCAGGAACAGTTGGGGATTTTTGGAGAATGGTTTGGGAAACCAGAGCAAAAACATTAGTAATGCTAACACAGTGTTTTGAAAAAGGGCGGGTAAGTTATTTGAAAACCTTTTCACAAAATGTTATTTTACAATTGTGTTAATACATTTGTGACAATATCAGCTAATACTGTGAGTGTCATCAATAACTTGGACATTTATAAGGCAGTTTTAACTTAATAGCAATAACTGTGAGATATATATATATATATATAAAAGTATGTTATGGCCAGTTATGTTATATTAGTATAACAATGGTCCTTATGACTGGTAATTTTCTCTGAATACAGATCAGATGCCATCAGTATTGGCCAGAGGACAACAAACCAGTTACCGTCTTTGGAGATATAGTGATTACAAAGCTAATGGAAGATGTTCAAATAGATTGGACCATCAGGGATCTGAAAATTGAAAGGGTAAAAAATGGAGGGGGTAGGAACATGATAGTAAATATGAATGCTCTAAATGTCTAAAGTATAATTAATTACTAGAACTATCTCTTGCAACAATACCTATATATCAACAATGCTTTCCTATTATTTTCTAAACAGAAGGTTTGAATAGGTATCTAACTTTAATACTTATGTCACTATGTTTAAATTTCAAAACACATGGTTAAAGTTTACATTAATCAATTAGCATCAAATTCTTAGAGAGACAAAGGAAGAAAAAGGAGAAAACAACGAAATCACTAGGTTTATTTCATTTGATAAAGAAACTGTAATATTTGACTTAAAACAAGAATTTTCCAAATCACTTGTCTCTATCTACATCCTAATAATTTAATTTTATGTTTAATCCAGAACCAATACAGAAGAGATAGTGTGGGATCCCACTTTATCAGTTTATATAAGTGCCTATACACTCTGAAAATAATATAAGGACCTTTATACTTTCTGACATTATCAGACACTCAATACCTATGCTTTTAATAATTTATTTAAGTTTGGGGTAAATTGTTTCAAACTCTATTCTAGTGCTACAAAATGTTATGCTACATTTGAACATAAATACTCTATATTATCATCTCTTTGCAAGCTTTCTAATTGTTTCCATTTATACTAAAAGGAAATTTTCTTTATGGTAGCAGTAATAAAAGCCTTTTCTTATAGGGTAAATGAAAACACAATTTCTTCTGTTTGGTAAATAGTAATTTTTAAAAGATCACCTTCAAAAGCTAGGACATCAACTGTCTTCCAACTTAATTGTGGTACTTCAATAATTGTATCAGACTTCTTTAATATGTCACTTTTTCTAGCATGGGGATTGCATGACTGTTCGTCAGTGTAACTTCACTGCTTGGCCTGAGCATGGGGTACCTGAAAGCAGTGCCCCTCTAGTTCACTTTGTGAAATTGGTTCGTGCAAGCAGAGCACATGACACCACACCTATGATCATTCACTGCAGGTAAGAAAGAAATATTATTAGAACATTATATGAAACACTAGAATGGCTTTTAAACTCAATGTGGTCTTTTTATTATCATGATACTATTGATTATTTTCTGGCAGAAGTTAATGTAGATTAATTATAGCTTTCACCTCTCAGATATTTTACTGGCCATAACAAATAAAGTTGTAGCTTTATAAAAGTTCAGATTGTAGAAATAAAATGAATGATGAACATATCTAAAATTAAGAAAAAAACACATATATAACTAGTACAGGAATTTTCCTGAATTCTTGACGGATTATGTCTCTAAAGCCCCTTTAAAAATTAAAAAGATTAGCCCATCATTTATTGTATATGTGTGTGTGTTTATAAGATATTATGAATTTTATAAATAAATATCTGCTTTTTTATTATTTCAGTTGATATTAGTATACTATTGTATTTTAAACATTTTTGTAAAAGCGAATGAGAGTTAAAAAATAAAAGTCTCTGAACGTGGTTAATAGAATATGACTATAAATTGAGACTTTTCTCATTCATTATTTATATTAGTATTTAATACTCTTAAAAATAAAACTTAAGGTGGTTTAGTATTCAGAGACTTTCTGTTCAGATTGATAAGATTTATGTTTTCTAGCATGACTTGAGTCTCTTCGACCATTGGAGTTTGGAGATTAGAGAAAAAGTGGGTGATGATATACTGTTGTATTATTCCACTTACATAAGATACCTAGAATAGGTAAATTAATAGACACAGAAGGTAGAATTGTGCTTACAGGGACTTGGAGGAGAGGGAGATAGGGCATTATTGTTTAAATTGATACAGAGCTTCTGTTTGGGATGGTGACAGAGTTATGGAAATAGTGGTGAAGGCTGTACACAGTGTGAATATGTTTAATGCCACTGAATTATACACTTAAAATGGTTAAAATGGTAAATTTTATGTTGGGTATCTTTTACCGGAAGCTTTCTCTGATGACTCTATCCTACCCTATCATCCTCTATCTCCTTAACCTGATTTATCTATCTTTGTTGCCCTTTTTACCATAAACATTCTATGCATGTTTGTGTACCGCTATTCTCCATCCTCTAGAATACAAGCTTCGTAAATGCAGGGACTTTGTATTATTTATTGCTATACCTCAGATGTCTAGGACGATGTCTGACACTTAAAATATATCGAATGATATAATGACTGATTGCTCTGTTCAGACATATGTGTATATGTGTTACCATAACCGGAATTAAGTTGTAATGCTCACTATTTCTTACATCAAATCATAGGCTATTTATAACTTTTAAACTCTCTTACTTACAAAAATGGCAGTTTTGTGTTGTTCAAAGGAACATTTATAAGACTAACTAAACTTTCAAATGTCTTTTCTGTTTTTCAGATTTACTTCTTGTATTAATCATTTAATGCCTAAGAGTCTTGTCTTTTTAATTGAGTTTCTGAAAAAACATCAGGTTTATCAATTAACAGTTTCTGTGGAACACGTACCTGTCCTTGAGTACCGAACTAACTTCTTAAAAGGAAGGAGTTTTTCAATTTTATTATCTATAGGAAGTAAAATTCTAGGGAAAAAAGAGTGAAAAGAACACACAAGAGGCTATTTTCAATATGATGCACAGGAAAGCTATATAGGTTAAATATTTGATATTTTTAATGTTTAGCATTTCTATTGATAACCAAAAATAATGTCAATACAAAGTTTCTGGTGTTAAGAAATTTTCAACAATTTTTTAAAATCTTCTCCAACTATAGCCCCTAAAATATTATGAAAGAATAGGTAAAGTTCAACTTATTTTTTAAAAACTCAAATATTTGATAATTAATGATAATTATCTTGCCTTATCTAAAAAGTCTTGATAACAATATAAATCCAAAAAGCGTCTACTTCCAAATATAAGGAAAGAACTGTTTAGAATTATTATCATAGCTCATTTTCTTCATCATCATCAACCTGAACAACCGTTTACTGAATAATTTTCATGTAATTTCACTCTGTGGCAGTGCTGGAGTTGGAAGAACTGGAGTATTTATTGCTCTGGACCACTTAACACAACATATAAATGATCATGATTTTGTGGATATATATGGACTAGTAGCTGAACTGAGAAGTGAAAGAATGTGCATGGTACAGAACCTGGTAAGATATCTAAATTGCATGTGGTGTCAGCTGTAGAATTTCTAGATGGGAGGATTTTAGTGGCAGTGATCTGGTTGGACATGGATTTGAAACTGTATTTGCACAGCAGATACTCTCTTTTCCTACATTCTAAACTTCCTGAGGTTAGGAGGGGGATGGCTTTTGGAAGGCAGATGCTGGAGATATAGGGGAATAAAGCCCATTCGTCAGTATTGCTACTTGACTGCTCATCCTAACTTGTTAATATGGATAGGCACATAGAAAATAATTCATAAAATGGATTTGTCTTTGGCATTAATCAAGTTTAGGGAACTTAGGAAATGAATCTAATCAATCTTTTTGTAAACATGCTAAAAGTTATAATTGGGAAAAAGTTGAAAATATTGACTGTTATGAGGTTCTATGTGTATCACTTGTCTATATTTATCACTATTATCTATTAGTACTAACAATGTTTATTATGTATTGACCAACTGGGAGTTTTGGTTTTGTTTTGGTTTAGAGGCAAAAATATTTCTACAACATATAGATTTTTCTTCATTAAAAAGTCATGTAATAAGACTAAAAACCTTCTATTGAGTGTCTGGTAGATTCCAAGTGCTATATTACATTCTGTACATGTATTATCTTATTTAATTCTTATTTAATCCTTTATTTGTAAAGTAAGTCCAATTGAACTAATCAACAGACTAGGTATTATTGGCTCTGCTTAACAAATAAGGAAGCAGATGTTCCAAGTAATTAAGTGATATACTTAAGGTTATACTATTAATAACTGTCAGAGCCAAAATGCAAACCCAAGTCTGTCTAACTATAATATACAATTTGTTCCTATCTGTATCTTTGGACTGGGATTAGTATGCTATAAAATAGAGATTTTCTCACAGTAAATATACAGATCTGCTCTAACGGTATTTTCCTGAGTACGTCCTAGAAAACACTAGTGGCATCACAGTCATTCAAGGTGTGCGAAAACAAGTTCTTTCCTAAAATGAATCTGAAAAGGATGTTAAATTGATTTTCTTAGAATTTCTTAGAGTATCCGTACTAATGTATATTGAAAATTACCAATGCAGAACCCTTGTGGGCAACATTTCCCAAACTTATACGATCGCGAAATCCTTAAACCCTTCTTGACTCCAGAACCTATAATGCCATGTCATGGACATTCATGTGCTTAGGAAGATGTCATTGTAGACCAGATACACCCAAACTTTTTAGACTGCACACCCCTTTCAGGAAAAATGTTTGAGCATTCAATATGTAATGTATGTATTTTTAAGATGTCGATTAAACAGTTATGTAAATTATTAAACATATACAGAATAAGAAATTGAAAAACATAAGATATATGTCAGATATTTAATAATTTGAAAACCTTGCTAACTGTGATGACTTCATATTATCATTAGGTATTTTTAAAAGATAAAATATATACTTAGCACAGGATAATTCTGTTTTTGTAGTGGTTTTGAATTATTTTTAATTTTTTTAAAAGTGATCCAGCTTACTACAAGATTATTCTAGACGTGCAAAAAATGTCAGCCCTGCCATTATCTTGTCATTCATTCATGTTTGCATTATAAATATTATCTTCAATCTGCAATCTCTTTATGGGAACCTTTTTAAGCCATATCAATTCTATAACAATTAAGTAAAACTAGGTAATGTAATCCATATGCATCCCCTTATATGCTTAAAGGAAACAAATGAGTGAAGTATTACACCTCTATCAGGATACTTCAGAAATGTGATATGACTTGTGACCAGGATTGGCTTCATGGATATGTAACCTGTGCAGTCTCAAAGGTTCCCATGCTCAAAAGGGCTTTGCACTTAGTTTAATGTTTACTGTCTTAAAATTCTTTAATAATTTTTGAGAAAGAGAACTCAAATTTTAATTTTTGCAGTGGATCCCAAAAATTATGTAGCTGATTCTTATCCAGGGTCTTATAAAGGGTCTAATATCAATCTATTAACCATTATTAAAACTCAATTTTTTCTTATTTTTAGTTAACAATAAAGATAAATAGAAAGCTGATATTTCCCTCCCATTTGTTTGTGAGTAAACATATGCACTGATGACCAATGCTCTTGGCATTAATTGAGATTGGTTGGCTCTCTTGGAAAGGACAGAGGATGGGACTGATTGGGACATTGTCTCCTTTTAGAGTCTAGAGTCAGTCTGCAAATAATAAAAGTTGAAAACATTTTTGCCAGCTTTGTGGACCTGAACTTTGTAAAGAGTGTGTTTAAGAATGCCTCTTAATAATTTCACACAATTTAATACTCAATATATACTATAGACTTCACACATAATGCTTGTTTAACTAGCTAGAGTAAAATGTTGCAGTTGGGTAGAAAAATGGAAAGAGTTGGAGAACTGAGTTCAGAACCAGCTAATTGCTGGTTCTGTGACTTTGTTTAATTAACCTCTAGCTAATTCTTTTTTAAAATAGCCATGTTATACTTTTCACAAGTTATTGTCAGTCCTAAATAAGAGAAGGTATCTAAAGGACTCAGAATGCAGTAAATGTCTGATAAGACTCTGCTGGGTTCCCTCCTTGCTAAAAAGGTGGTACTCCAAATCTCTCTTTCTTCCAACTTCATTCCCAGGAATACTGCTCTTTACTGTCTTTCCTGTGATGAAAAAAGGAAATGACCAACCTTGGCTCCAGTCCTTATAAACCGGCATTGCCTTGCATAAGAGTGATTTCTTACTTTCTTCTATTGCACTTGGGAGTGATTCCAATTTGATATTAGACCCCTATGTAGAATGTGCATGTCTTAGCACATATTACAGTAGCCACGGACAGGGGTGGGGAAGTGAGAACCTCAGCAAAATGTCACCACATAAAGGCACCAGAGGAGCAGGACCCAGACCCAGGAAGGAGCTTTATTTTTCACTGTCTACCAAAAACAGTTCATAATGGCCCCAAGAGGGTTGAAAAGACTTTCTGAGAATGCAGTGACATGACATTCTGAGTTACGATTGGTGCCTCAAATAAGGGTTCATCTGGTTGAGCCTCTATCCTGCTCTGGTTCTCCTGGAAACTTACTCATGTGAACTCCCAAAGTAAGAGAAAAAAAAAAAAAAACTAATAAATTTTGAGTGCCTAGTTGTTTGGCACTTTATGTATGTTGTCCTTTAAATCTTACCACGTAGGGTTTGTGATCCCCCGATGAGGAAACTGAACATCAAAAAGTTTAGGCAACATATCTAGGGAAGAAACTGGAATTGTATTCACTATCTCTTTGGCAATGACACACCATGGCAGAGAGATCTTGGAAAATGTAGTGCTGTGCCGTGAAGCTCATTCTGCCCTATTGGCAGAGTTTCCACCCATCATTCTTTCCACTGGAGAAGATGAGATGGAGATATTCAGAAGCTTCACATACCAAATGTGACTTCAAATTCAAATGCATTTTTTAAAGAAATACCAAGACTCGTGAATCTAAATTATCATTGTTTTCAAAGAAATTATATTCTGTCAATATATTTCTGCCAATAATATTATTCATTGTGTAATGAACATTTGAAAATATTCTTTTGGAATTACCTTGAGAGGTAATTTACTAGCCATTTCAATAGAATGTTATTACCTTACAACAACGCTTCACTTCTTACCAAATTTGAAATATGTAACTGGATCATCCACCTCACTTACAAAGCTTGATCCCTAATGACTTCTGGATGTTCTCCAAATGAAATCTGTCCTTATATGGTAAAGACTGGCTAGCCATAAGAATTAAATGAGACTAAGTCAACAAACATTTATTACACAACTACAACATGCCGGGCACTATGACAGGCAATGGGAAATCAGTAGTGAATAAGAGACTTCTGCTCTCATAGAACTAACATTCCAGCAATGAGATGTTTGTGGAAACATTTTGTAATCCACGAAGAAATAGATATTCCTAATAATGACCAACGATTTCTGAAGACAATTTCAGTAAGGAGTTCCAAAAAAGTTTTGTGGTTCAGTAGCAAGATACAAATATAACCTCTTAAGACGGTCACATTAGAGGACATTCTATTTAAATCAGTTCTCTCGATGATAGATAGATAGATAGATAGATAGATAGATAGATAGATAGATAGATAATAGATAGATAGATAG